TTTTCATTCTATTTTTATTCAATTGCGGATTAAATTTAGCGATCGCATTGTGCCTTATGATCAGTTTCTGTATATGAAGTCAAAATAACAAATATGAACGGATATCGTTTTCTTTTGCGAAGTTGAAGTTTAAGTAGTCATCGCTTGTTATTTATGAATAATCCTCTTTATACGCAGACGTTATAAGCACATTTAAGAGAACAGATCGAGTCACGGGTATGCGAATGAAAAGCATTATTATTCGCGATAACGGCATAACGGGCGAGGTATACGTACGGGGATGGCGAATGAGATTTCCGGATGCCAAGCGGGACGGTGAAATTTCATGATTTATCAATGGCCGGATCGCACGCGATGCGAGCGATCCGCGCACGGGAAAATTGAACGGCCGCGTAGAAAATATCTCTCAATTGGATTGCGGCTGCTATCGACAGTGACTCGCGGAAAATCCTAGTGGAATGAATTTCCCGCGCGTACAAGTGCCGTTATTACTCTCCTTTTCCGCATGAGCACCCCGCTGCTCGTCGATATTGACTTTGAAAATATCGCGAATTATCTTAGCGTGATATTTGGACTTAAAAAAAAAAAAAAAAACACTCTCTATAACATTTCCAATCTTCAAACATTATACCGGAAAGCTTATACATCAGAATGTTTTTAGAATGTTGTTTTGAGATCATTTTCTTGTAAAATAACGGAAAAACCAGCCTCAAGAAAATGTACTTACTACTAACTTATACTATGTCCAATATTTTGTTCGACAATAATTTTAATAAGAAAAAAAAATTCAATTTTCGTCGCGTTTTATGGACAACACTAGAGATTAATTATATTTTACAAAATATTAAGTGAAAAAGAATGACAGAGAGAGGGGAGGGAGAGAAGAGAGATTAGTAGTAAAGTGAAAAAAAAAACATCGAGACAACAAATAAGATTCAATAAAATTTTCATTAAAGAAGGAATGGTCAAAGGGTCTGCAAAAAAGTTAGATGAAAAGAATTCTATTAAGTTAGAATACCGTAAATGACATATTTGACGACGATCATGATTCGTAAAGGTATGCTTGAATTTTAAACTATATCCGAAATAATTGTTATCTGTCTAATTTTTAATCTGTCTAATTTTACTTACAATTTAGTTGAATTTCCCTCTCCCTCCCCTATCAGCATATTTAAATGAGTAAAGTTACATTTATACAATTATTTATATATCATATTTATAATATGCCATATAATTTGTAATACAATACAAACAATTATAATAGCAAACGTAAGTTTATTAAAAAAAATTTTGTCGTCTTGGTTGTTATATATAAAAATTACAATAAACGAATAAATCTGTTAATAACGAATAAATTTTTTTATGAGATACAACACTTCTGATGTTATGTTAAAAATCTCATCTCATAAAAGAAATACATTTGTATAGAAGGAAGATTGAATAACTAAACGCGATCATCGTATGCGAAAGAGTTTAAGACATACTTTACACACCGTGGGGGGGTGGCTTTGCTTCCCCGTGGTTCGGTTGTCGTCGAATCAGGACGCGACAGTAGGAAACAGTAAGAAAAAACGTAAGAAAACGATACGCTTGTCTCGTCGTAGGTGGCACGCCAACTTCCGTGAACTATACCGGCGAACAATGGGACTTCCCGAACGCGTGGCCACCGTTACAATCCTTCCTGATTCTGGGTCTTCACCACACCAAGGTGAAAGAGGCGGTCGCCTTTGCCCGAACATTGGCCGGCAGATGGCTTAGATCGAATTACCTCGGTTACGACGAATACGGCAAGATGTTCGAGAAGGTAAGTTCCTTTTTCTCGCGTTAGACGAGTCTCCTGTTTCTCATTCGTGAACGGTTCTCTCTCTATTCACCGGCGAATCGGAAGATTAAGGGAGAGTATTTCTTGCTGACAAGCCGCAACTGACGTTCTTACACGACTATGTGATCAGAACTATTGAATCTCCCCAACTGTACGACAGATTCTATCGACACATAGACACATTTCGATGCGACGTCGAAGAAAGCGTTCTCTTTCTGCCGCAATAAAGTGTATAAATGGATTTCTTTATGAAAAGAAATTTTTTTTCATAAAGGGAGGAAGAAAGAGAGGATTATTATATAAAGATATAACAATATATAAATTTATCTATATTTATATATTTTTATCTCTTTTATAATAATTCTTGTATCCTTACATTTATATTTATTGTCTATTAAAGCTAGGTTTTTTTCTTTTTTTTAGATCTTTCCGTATCTTAATTCACTTAACATTGTTTCAAATTTAATCCATGCGCCCAGACACACAAAATTCTTTTCTTTTATATATTCGATACTTATTTCATGCTCTCGAATATTACCATTATCCGAATATCTACAGAATATCCGATAAATCTACAGTTGACGTCGATGTTAATATCGAAAATATCGGTGCGAGTAATATTTAATATTAAGCGATGACAGAACCGCTATTTAATACTGCTAGTGTAAACACTTTTGTGTCCCGAGTACGCTGTCCGCAGTATCTTCTCGTATTCCTTTCTGATACGGAAACTTGACGAGGTATGTATTTCGGAGGAGAGTCTCGAATTTCGATATGAGATGAGAGATGATGGTCGCTCGGACGCGCGTCTAACGTGCGCGAGGATGACCTCGCTCGTTTCCTTTGTCGCTCCACGCTCCACCTTGCTGTCCTATTGGGACGCTGGAAGGGAATGAGAAAGGGATGAAAAGCCACGGGGAAATATCGTTCAGCGTATATGTGCGCGCGCGCGCGTGTGTGTGTGTGTGTGTGGTGGGGGTGGGGGGTG